AAACCAACTAAAAATAAAAGATATTGTATTAGTTCTGAGATTCTTTTCTCACTTATCTGATAATAACTTAAATGAACAAACAAATTTAATTCAATTGAACAAATATTTATTAAATTGCTACTATGGGGGTTCTTATTTTGTGATAAGAGACATGCAAAGAAAAAAAAATCACAATCCTGACTTCAAGAAATTTATGATCCAATATGGAGGACATGATATGTCCATAACTAAGATCACGGGGGTGGACATAGTAAGGGCAAAGGAGAGAGTAAGACAAATTCCTCTAGGAAAATTTGAGAGGACAGGACTCAATTTCAGCTGGGGAATTGGGAATGCATGTCAAAGATGGTTATAGAGGGGTGACAAACAGGATTCACATCTGTGTAATCATGTGAAATACGAGTGTGACAATTTCAGAAATGCAATTAGAAACTAATAGCTGCCTATGTGTTGGGTCCTATAAAGGCAATTTGAGAGTGAGACACTGGAACAGGAGGTTTAATGATTTTCCAGACAATGCAGACAACACACAGGAAGCAGACGTGGCTGCTTCCAGAGGTTGATGAGAAAGTCTGTGCACACAGAACTGTAAAAGTGGCATGTATCTAGGTCAGTAGGTGGGCTTGTAATTTTCAGTCACGAGGAAATAAGTATTGGCAACTCAAGCTAAGGAAAGAAGAATACAGAGAAATGGCAATGAATGAAACCATAAAAGGAATTTAAAGTTAATCCATTTGGAGCCATCTGTCTTACATTTTCCTCATTCATTCTGTTGGATGTTACAGCTTCATTCCATTCATAAGAGGCAGCAGCAAAAGGGCTTTATACAATTTAATTATATTTTTTTCAAAAATGCTCACCAGAAGCCTAGCAGAAGACCATTTTTGCTCAGCTTAGCTTAAATTATTTTGAGGTTAACCTACTCTTTTCCTTAAATAGGAAAGCTATGTGGCAATAATTAAAGATAAATAGAACTCTTTCAGGTTAATCAGACTATATATGCTTTATATATTTCAGTACCTCAGAGATCTGTAATTTTATAAACATGGGTAGTTCCTTCACCCAAGCAGATTGCCAACCTTCTATGACTTAGGAGATGATCTTAGAGAATTGTTATTGCAGTTGTCTTGATGATGAACTTTGATTTTACTTGAAAGTAAAAACTATATAGAAATGTGCATATATATTTGATATAGTTTTGTGTTATCAGAAAAAATAGCTAATCCATACAATCATTAAATATTGGACTTAATAGGGATCTTAAAGTTTATATAATCCAACTTCTTCATTTTATGGAGGGGTCTCAGAGAGATGGTATGATTTTTCTAATTTACAATGTGCTCTTGAAGACTGGTTAAATACTATATATCACACTGTTTCCATACTATGATTATTTATACATGAAATATTATATAATAAGCTACTACTCTGCTTACTAGTTCTAATTGAGTGTTGTGATACGGGGCTAAGAGACAGAAAATGAATATTTAGGTGATGATGCAACACAGTGCTTAGCACACAGTATATACTTAATCATTTTTTATTTATTCAGTCAGCATGAAAATGTGAAACTGAAAAGTACACAGATTTCTTACTTTCCTAGAACTTTGCGATTTAAGTCAGAATTATGACTTCTACACAGTAGAAAGAGAATCAACTCTAGAATCAGAAAACCTAAGTTCAAAGTCCCACTCAGATTTAATCAATGTGTGATCCTGAGTAAGTCAATTGATGTCACTGTAACTCAGTTTGGACTAGATGGTCTTTGAGGTCCCTTCCAGCTCTAGGTCCATGATCCTTTGAATTTCTACACAGCACTAAATTAAGTATTAAGTTGGTTATTAATTCAACAGATGTTTATTTAGCATCTACCATGTATAAATCTCTGGTAGTTAAGTAGTACAGTAGATAGAACACTGGAGTCAGAGTAAGTAAGATTCTTTTTGTTTTTCAGTCATGCCCAACTCTCTATTAATCCATTTGAGGTTTTATTGGCAAAAATACTGAAGTGATTTGCTATATCCTTCTCCAGATCATTTTACAGATAGGGATACTGAGGCAAATGGGATTAAGTGACTTGTCCATAGTTAGGAAGTTGTCCCTAGTTACATAGTTAGGTCACATAGTTAGGAAGTATCTGAGGCTAGGTTTGAACTCAGGAAGATGAGTCTTTCCAATTCCAGGCCCAGTGCTCCATCCACAGTGCTACCTTGCTGCCCCAAATCAGTAAAAGCCCAAATTCAAATATTGCCTCATAATCTTACTAGCTGTGATGCTTGGTAAGTCATTTATCCTTTTTCAGCTTCAGTTCCCTCAACTGTACTTCATAGGATTGATATGAGGACCAAAAGAGATAACACATGTAAAGTGCTTTACAAACTTTAAATTACTATAAAAATTATATTTAGTAGTAGCAGTAGGCAGTGATAGTGGTGGTGGTGGTAGTGGTGATAGTAGTAGTAGTAGTAGTAGTAGTAACAGTAGTAGTAGTAGTAGTGTAGTAGTAGTAGTAGTAGTAGTAGTAGTAGTAGTAGTAGTAGTAGTAGTAGTAGTAGTAGTAGTAGTAGTTCTCTAGGTTACACAAAGATGAATAAGACATCTGTGATCTCAGGGAACTCCTAATCCAGAAGGAGAGCTAAATTTTGTGCAAACATCCTTGTGATACAAAATAATATATTACAAGCATCATAAGACAGAAAAAATAAAGCTTCCTTATGGCTAGGAAGATCAAAGAAGGTTTTCTGAAGGAGGAGGAATTTTATATGGACCATGAAGTATGGGTAGGTTTTCCACAAGCAGAGATAAGGGGAAGGAATCTTTTGAGCAAAGGGAATAGCCTAGGGACAACAAGAAATCAGTGGGAAAATGAAGAATAAGTTTAGTGAATAAGTATTTTAGTTTGAAGGGAAGCTAGGTGGATAGAGGACTGAGCTTGGAACCAGGAAGACTCATCTTTATTAGTTCATATCTGGCTGCAAACACTAGTTGTGCGATTCTGGGACAGTCACTTAACTGTTTGTCTCAGTTTCTCATCTACAAAATGAGCTGGAGAAGGAAATGGCAAATCCCTCCATTATATTTGCCAAGAAAACCCCCAAAAGGGGTCATGAAGAGTAGGATACAACTGAACAAAAATTTAGTTTGAATAGAGCATAGGATATATGTTGTGGATTGGTGGTGGTTGGGAGGGAAGAATAAAACTAAAATACCAGAAAGCAAACCTCACATATAAGCAAAAAGTCACATCTCAGTGGACCAGAAAATTACAGTGTAGATTTTTAAAAGTAGTAATACTGATTAATCAATGGATCTACTAGATTGGAAAGTGACAAAGGGCTCTTGGAGGCCTATCATAGATAATAATAATAATGAATGTTTTAAATAATGTACACACATATTTAATGATTTCTAGATATTATTTCATTTTAATTTCATGTCAATTATATGCAGTTGTTATTACAAATATCATCATCCACATTTTGCAGATGAGAAAACAGAGGCCCAAAGATACTAAATGATGGACTTAAGGTTGCAAAGCTAGTAAATTATACAACTGTGACTCAGACAAAGGTTTTGTGGCTTCCCAAATCAGAGGCTCTATCCACTTCACCATCCTTAGTGACCTTTAATATTGTAATAAAGAGTTTGCTCTTTATTCATTAGATAAGGAGAAGCTACTGAAGGATTTGGGGCAGTGGAATATAATGATCAAAGCTATATTTGTATATATTTGGATTGGAAGAAGGTAGTGAAGAGAAAGAACCCTTGGGAAGTATCAGAATAATTCTCGAAAGATGTAATGAGGTTCTAAACTAATATAATGGAAATAAGAAAGGATGAGAATGTAAAAGATAAAATCCAAGGACAGAACCATAGATGATGCCTATGTTTAAGGAATGGAAGGAGAAACCAAAATGAACTGTTGAAGAAGAGGAAGAATAAATTAAAGATTAAATTAACTTTAAAAATTAAAGATTCAAGAACCAGTATAACCTCAGGAAAGCCAAAAGAGAGAAGAGGACCAAAAAGAAATGGGTGATCAATGATGGAAAGTGATGCAGAGGTCAGACAGATGAGAAGTGAGAAAAGGCCCACTGATTTTGAAATTAGGAGCCCACTGCTTTAAGAGAGAAATTTCACTAGAGTTTTTCTGAGTGTTAGCCAAGCTGCAAGAGCACTAAGAGGCTGAGACACTAGAGGATTAAATTGAAGAATATAGCTAAATCAGATAATTTAGGTTCCCCAATTTTTTTAAGCCTTAACTACCCGGGTTAATTGTTAATGTTGTTTAAATTAGCTGAATATTGTCCCATTTCTATCTTATTAGATGTTGTTTAGTCAGATCTCATATATGCTGCAGGTATGAATAGATTACTGGACTTGAAATCAGGAAAATCTGGCCTCAAATCATGCCTTTGGTTTATACTAGCTGTTTGAACATAGGCAAGTAGTTTAGCTTCTCTGAGTCTCTGTTCCTGAATGGGGATAACAAAACCTATTTAGTACCTACCTCTCAGTGTTGCAATGAGACACAAATGAAGTACTGTAAGTAAGGTACTTTGCAAATTTTAAAGAGCTAAATAAAAGTCCACTATTATAGTTTTTAAGTGGACAATACCTAATTGGTTTGAGAAATGGGAAGTGAAATTTTGACCCTTAGAAAAATAAGAACAAAAGTATAAATCAAAAATGCAACTCAAATCGGTCTTTTTCGGTACATCATAAAGAAACTAGAAAAATAAGTTCAGTTTTTGAGGCTCCTAAAATGGAAACAGAAGTAGAAATACAGAAATGTTGCACTTTAAAAAATTAAAGAATTTATCTTTGCTCATTTGAAGTACAATGAGCAGAGGAAATTACTGAAAATTGGTAAAATTGTAGGCAGCTGCCATCTGTGGTCTTTCATTGATACTGTGTGCTGTCAATTATGGAACACCCAATTTCAAATAACTATTTAAACAAATATTAACAAAGAGAACAAAGGGAATAATGTTTCTTACCTTTTGTAGGGTATTGAAAGGAGCTGTTGATCCCTTTGGCTTAAGCCTCTGACATTACTTTGCAGTCTCTAAGCACTCTGTGAAGGAATAACCTTCCAAAGAGGAACAAAAGGGGTGGTAGGCTCCCAGAACACTTGAGTCAAGGCAACAGCACTTCCCTGCAGAAGAATGTGAGCTGGAGTTGGGGAAGGAAGCGTGGTAAAGAAGAAACATTAGATCTGGAACCAGAGGACGTAGGTTTAGAACCCACATCCTAGTCTTACCAACTCTGTCCATGGTGTTATGTAAATCCATTAATGTCCATAAGGCTTGATGCCGTTATGTAAAAAAAGAGAGTACTTAATTAAAGAACCTCTGAGTTCCCTTCCAATTTGCCTCTACAATCCCATGAGAGCCATGGGCAATCTCAAAGTGACTATTAAACTGTTTATTCTCCCATTACTAGTATGTGGTTAGGGGCAGCTAGGTGGCAGCCATGCATTCCTGGAGTCAGGAGGACGTGGGTTCAAATCCAAACTCAGACACTTAATACTTACTAGCTGTGTGACCTTGGGCAAGGCACTTAACTCCAATCTCCTCACCGAAAAAACAAACAAACAAACAAACAAATAAATAGTATGTGGTTGTGCATCATGGAATACCAAAATCTCCAAAAAAAGTCAAAATTGCAGGTAATTCAAAGGATACCTGCTTGATAGGTTTAAGGAGACTGTAGCATATTTCTAATTACTTCAACACAAAAAATGACAAATAATACTCATATGATCTGTGATTCTTTTTCTAGGCCTCCTGACCAGCGCAGATTACAACTTACTATGTATGTCCTAGGTAGTTACATGGATATTAAATGACACAAGGATGTTAAATGACATACCCAGATCACATAGCAAGTGATGGAGGGAAGATTTGAACTCAAATTTTCCTTACTCAAAGCTTAACATCCTATCCACCATGACTTGATGCCTCCAAAAAGAAACTAAATCCATGAAATGTATGATCAGATAAGAAAGTGAACTGGGTGTGCAGTGAAACAAAAAAGAGGAAGAGAAGACAGCTGGGCACCCTGAGCAATGAAATGGTATCTATGTTGAAAAAATCGGCAGAAGGCCTCTATTGTCTTGCATAGATTCCCTAGAGAAGATCTATGGCAAGAATTGAAGAGGATTTGAAGGCATTCATGGGTTCTATTCCTCACCAATTAAGAGAGTGCCAGATTGATGAGATTATGGATCCACTGATGTATAGGAAAAGTAATCAAAATAAAATTTTTTGAAAGAATAACACAGAGAATAAGCAAAATAAAGGATCCTTAGATTTTAAGTGATTTCTAAAGGCCTAATGGAATTTATGCGCTCAACAATGTATCATTCTTTATATTTAATCTTGTTTCTAATCATGTCTCAAATTAGTAAGCTTAAAATTATTTGTCACCTTTACTATATTAAAATTCATTGATTGACTGAAAATAACATAGGGAGAGGGTCATAGTGGAAAGACACTGGATTGGGAATCATGGGAAACCAATTCTTTTGCGGATGCTTTACCAGTTGTGCAATTTGCATATGTGTAAAATGTGAATTTTTCCCTCTCTGACCCTTTGTTTCTTCACCCATAAAACATGATGGTTAGAACAAATAATTTCTGACATCCTTTCTAGTTTTAGCATTCTGTAATAGATGCTACATTCCACATAGGTCTTCAAAAGGAAGAGTATAAAGGAGTCCTTATTTTGAAATTCAGAATTTGCCAGACATAAACTTCATTGCCTGAAAAAATTAAATATGACAGTAAAAAATGATGCTTTTTTTTCCCTTTCTTTGGGTGGCGATGATAAAAGCAATGATACCACCTGAAGATTTATAAGTAATGAATAAATAATTAATTTTATGATTAAATAAGCATTGATCTCATTTACATGAGTGAGAAGAGGAGCATTGTGTTAGCATTTATCCTTTTAAAGGGCCAAGTTAAAAAAAAATCAAAATTGAAGAACTAACTTTCTGAGGAGAATACATAGTTTATTCCTAAAGAGAGAGAAAAAAATGTTGTTGACTGTATTCAAACATCAGACTATAAAAATAAGTAAAGAAATGTATACACACACACACACACACACAGAGATATACATACATCTTGCAGGAAGAAAAAAGACACATTAGGCTAAGTTGAAGGAACTAAAGATTAGCTTCAAGAGATGAGTCAGCAGGAGTGAAAGGAAGAGCTGTATAACTACTACTTTCTTTTTTCTTTTTTTTTTTAAGTGAGGCAATTGGGGTTAAGTGACTTGCCCAGAGTCACACAGCTAGGAAGTATTATGTGTCTGAGGTCATATTTGAACTCAAGTCCTCCTGACTCTAGGGCAGGTGTATCCACTGTGCCATCCAGCTGCCCTCTATAACACTATTTTCAAACCTTTAAGGGGTTGGTATATAGAAAAGAGATGAGACCTGCTCTTGGCCCTGCATAGGGAATTAACACTAACAAGTCCAAGCTAAAGGAAATTACTTCAGGAGCACTATCCCAAGGACATTTTAGAAAGGATTCAAGTTTCTGGTGAAGATTGAATTAGGTCACCTTGTAGATCTTCTCCAACTCTGAGTCTATGATATAATTAAAAAAGATTAATGTGGGTCCTGATAGGGTCACTTAAATAAGCTACCTTTTTGCTGTCATTGCCCTGTTTGTTATCTATATCAAATGCAAGTTTGCACCAGCTAAACACCTTCTTTAATTCTCAAATATTAATGAAAATTTTATGCTATAATTAAAATTGAGACCTGAGATACTTGTATTTTTTTAAATCTTTTATTCTAAATTTAAGAAATAAAAATCACCTTTTTCATAAAAATATAAAAATCCTTTCTTCTGCTTATTCTCTTTGTTATTCTTTCAAAATATTTTCATTTTTCCATACTTCAGTGGATCCATAATCTCATCAATCTGATACTTTCTTGATTGGTGGGGAACAGGACCCATGAATGCCTTCAAATCCTCTTCAATTCTTGCCTACGTCCTCTCATAAATCTTCTCTAGGGGCTGTATGCAAGGTAATGGAGGTCTTCTAATTCTCTCAACATTTTCTAGATATTTCAACACTTAAGTTGTCCAGCTGTTATCTCTTTTTTTTCACTTCATACCTAATTTGCCTTCTTTTTTGATCACATATTTCATGAATGTTAATGATATGTTTTATTTCATATATACCTAAACTGATATGTAACTTATATTATATACCTTATATGACTAAATTTAAGAAATAAAAAGCATTTCCATAACATAGTAGAATAGGGCAAAAAAAGATGATTGCACATAAAACTGCATATCTATTATGTACAACTTGCTATTCCTTTTAAATATATAGTAAAGTTAACATGTAACTTTTTTCTTTCCTCCCTCTCTATCCTATAGTTGCTACCATTAGACACAAATCACACACACACACACACACACACACACTATATATATATATATATATATATATATATATATATATAATATATATATTATGTATTATAAATATATAATCATTCTACAGATATTTCTATTTATCAGTTTTTTCTCTGAATGCAGATAGCATCTTCCTTCATGGGTCCTTTGTAGTTAATTTGAGTATTTAAAATAGTCAAAATGACTTAGTAGCTCAAACTTGTTCTTAAAACTGTTGTTAACTGTATATTATAGCCATGCAAGACAGAAAATAAGCTGTTGCAGTATAACTCACTGTACACACAAAATAGGTATTGAGACCACCCTAAAGAAATACCTTTTCCTAATAAGAATTACTGACAGACTAGAATGATATTCACCCTTTTGAAATAATTTGGTCACCTACACTTTGCCCTAACTGAAAAATATTATGAAATTATTTATACTCTAGAAATAATTTTGTGGGCTAGATCTGAAAGAACTTTTAGCAATTCTGTGTTCCATAAGGATTCACATCAAATCATAAATATACTTTTTTTCTTTTTTTCTGCTCTACTGCCTCTCTTAGTGGGTACATAGAGTAGTAGGTAGAAAATGTGTAGCTAAGGGTCAAAGGAAATCTAATATGCATCCTTTCCAGTTACATTAAAGTCCTATTCATTTCAAAGAAGTATTAAAGGTGAGCAAACAATTTTACAGACCATTTCACTCCTAAAGAAGGATTTTGTAGGCTTGCTAAGTCTAAACAGATGCTATCACATAAGAGGGTCTACTGTGTATGAAACCGCTAGCACTCAAAAATAGTATTTTTCATACTCCATGCATTATTTCCCTATCTGGAGAATAACCAATCACTGATAGCTAGCTGATATCTAATTACCTGGAAAATTGGGTATTTATTCAAAGTCATTAGGAAGCAAACCATTCTTGTCATTGTTAGGGTGACATTCTTTTGGTGGTCACGTTTGTCACCATTGAGTGGTGCTATACATTTTTGTGGATCAGAGAGAATCTGGATGATTGTGGGGTGAGAAGAAGACTCTTTGGAACATGACATTAATTTCTCAGCTATACATTTTAGGGAATAAATTGATAACCTAGAGAGCTTTCAAAGAGGGTGACCTAGAAGGTGAGAGATCTTGAGATGCCTACAAATAATAAGGGGATATTTAGACATCAAATGACTTGGATATAATTTAAACTAGACATGGAATACTTGAGGGAGAGGAGTTTCCTGATCCTTCTGTTGTGTGTGAAATTATTTCATATTTGCTTTGTATACATTTTATCTTTATTCCCCTTTACCCATGTTCTCTCCTATAATCCCCCTTCCATCCTGCAACCAGTAGAATATTAACATTTGAAGGCAGAGATGGTTTTATTTTTGGCTTTTATTCCAAGAGCCTAACACCTGACACAGTGCTTGGCACACAGTAGATATTTAATAAGTATCTTTTTGTTTGATCGATATGATAATTTTCTTAAATATTTGAAATGTTGAAATGTTAAAATGGAATTCAGATAGTTTTGCTTGCTAGGAGGAAAAACCTCTTAACCATGAGAGCTATCCAAAAGAGATAAGGAGGTGGTAGAGTACATAGATTCCTGAACTGGAAATCAGAAAACCTGAGTTCAAATCCAGCCTTGAACACTTACTAGCTATGTGACCTTGTGCAAGTCACTTAACATTTGTTTGGTTCAGTTTCATTGTCTGCAAAATGAGGGCAATAATAGCACCTACCTTCCAGGGTTGTGAGGATAAAATTAGATGATATATATACAGCATTTTGCAAATTTAAAAGCACTATATAACTGCTTATTTGTATTAATAATATCATGAGATATTGACTCCCTTGAGAGAGATCATGGACTCTAATTTCCCATCACTAGAGGCTTAAATAAATGACCACTTTTCAGTTATGTTCTAAAGAGATTATTTGTTCAGGTAGGAATTAGACTGTTTATTACCTGAGCTCCTATCCAACTGTGTCTGTGATTTGGTGACTCCAGAAAGTCAGACAAGCTTGAGGTTTCTCTTCTTCAAAGTGCTTAATTAACTTTCTGATAGTTCAGTCCTGGGGTGACATTCCTTCATTGGATAGGGTAACATCTATTCTACTACTTCTGCAGAATTGCCTCTTGGGAGACTCAATTTGCCTTCATTTAGGAGATGACTTAAAGATCATAGAATATTAAAGTTGGTTTGAACCTTAAATACCTTAAACTCTTCATTTTCTACATGGAGAAACTGAGAACCAAAGCGATAAAGGGACTTGTCTAAGTTCATATAACTATTTAAGTCCAGGACCAGAACAAAAACATTGTTTTCCTAATTTTTAGTACTTCATATTATATAACATTTGCCTCTAAAGCAGGGATTCTTACCTACAGTACATGAACTTGTTTTTATTTTAATATTTTAATAACAGCATGTCAATATCATTAGTTTCTTTTGAAATACTGTGCATTTTTTTATTAAAAAAAATCACTCTAAGAAGGGAATCCATAAACTTCACCAGATTGTTAAGGAGGTCTATGACTCAAAAAATTTAGGAACCTCTGCTGTAGGGTCATCAGACAAAGGAGACCTATTTTCATCTCTAAGCTGAAATAAATTGCTGCTTGATTCAAGATCAACCTTCCTCAATGATTGAGGTTGTATTTATGCCACAAGTTAAACAAAGAAAGTAGTATAAAATAGAATAAGCACAATTCACTACACATCACATTAACATCGTAAAGGGAGAGAAATTGATATTGCTGTCACTTTCTATTTTATCATTAATATTCTCATATCATATACATATATATGTGTGTCTGTATATATCAGTAATATTTTCCACTGATTCTATGTGGCCACAAATCATGGACCATTTGAAATTGGGAGAATTAAAAATATGATCACGTAGTTTCAGAGTAGAATTGACCTCAGCTACTATGCAATCCAACTCATACAGTAAACCCAAGAAACATTCAGGCAGTCTTTGTTCTAAGACTCTAGTGAGGGAGGTGATCTAGTATCTAGAGCAGGAAGGGACTTAAGAGGCCATGGAGTCCAACCTCCTCATTTTACAGATAAAGCAACTGTGACCCGGAGAGTTAAGTGGCAAGTCAAAGTTAATGAACATAGTAAATTGACTCACAAATCCAGAGCTCTTTCCAAAGCCACTGTACCACCCTACTGGTAGGTTTATAGCTATAGCATATTAGCCATAATGACTTGAATGTAAGAAATAGCATGAAGATGATCATGAAGAAGATGTATAGTTTGTGGTTCACAGTTTCCCAAGCTTTTATGGCCTGGGTGCAAATTTTTAAAGGAAGCCCTCCTGGGTCATTGAAACCTGCCCTGTAAGTGTTTCCAAGAGTGTCTGCAAACCCATCAGGTCATTGGGAAATTGCCCCAGTCACAGAGACATTCATCAGGGGTTATCTTTTGCTGTCCTCACAAGGCGCCAATGATCATATCCAAACACTACAAGAAGAGATACCTTTTAAAGTCACAAAGAAGGTTCCTTGCTTGTTAACTTAGCGGGTTGATTGGGAAACTCCTAATCAACTCCTTATATTCAGCTCAGTCTGTATAAGCCCAGAGCTTGTGGGTAGGGGCTTGGACCAGAAGCTACACAGTTATGACCAAGAAAATCAGTGGATGGACTCCACAGCACTGCAGGGCTTAGCTCCTTGTGGCAGATACAGCTCTTCAAGGAGGGCTGATAATTCCAAGAACCTGATAGAGGGGTTTAGGGCTTCTATGGAAGTACTACATTCAGAGAATTCAGCAGCAGGTTTTTCTCAACACTGAAGCAATGTACTAAACATCTGCTTTCTTCCACCCAGGGGTTAGGTACTTTCTTGGTGGTGGATTCTCTTCCAATAAGTGCTAGTCTTACGCCCAACAGATCTGTGTTGTGTCTCAGCAAAAGGCACTGGGGGAGCTTGAGTATCTGAAAATATAGGCTAGGAAACTTGTAAACTTTGGGTGAGTTGTAGGTTGGGATTTCTTTCATTCCTGGAATGGGCTCAAACTTTTCTATCTCACTCCTAGCAGAAAGGTTATTCTCCAGCTCACACATATGGAATGCCAAGCATGCAGGAGAACTAATTACATCAGTCTGCCAAACTCAGAACCATGGTAATTTGCAGTTTCCTTAGGTCAACAAGGTAGGATTGATGTGGCCCACGGCAAAACAAATTTTAGACTGTTACTCTTTTATAACGTGTTTTTAAAAAGAAAGTGGGCAAAAACCTTTTCAGAAAGGCACAAAAGAAACTTAAATCCATTCAAAGCCAAGACAGCCATTCTATTAAGTGAGAAAATCTTATCTAAAATAGAAACTGACCTGGATGTTGATATAACGAAGTAAAGAATCTTCTTGTGTGTAAGACATTGTCTACACGGAAGAGACAGAAGAGAATTGAGACCCTGAGGCACCAAGACTTTGTAGCCTTTATTCAATTTGTAAACAGAACTAAAGAAACAAAACTAACAACTAAGGTTGACAAATATTTTTATAAAACTCTTACAACACTTTAAAAATAGCATAGAAATAATTATTCCTATTCAGATTCTGTTATTTTACTTACAAGGTTTTTTTTCAATTTTTTTCTTACCATGTCAAGATTAAAACATTAAATTAGCCATTAATATGGCTCTGTTTTAATATTTTTAGAACATGAAAATGATCTCCTCAGGGGCAGGGACCATTTTTCCACCTCCTTTGTATCCCCAGCACTTAGCGCAATGCCTGGAACATTATAGGCACTTCATAAACGTTTACTGACTGACAGACTTGAAAATTTGAAAATACTAGATCCAGAAAACTTTAAAATAATAAATCAAATGAAACTATGATAAAAAATCAAGGAAGAGTAATCCAGATAAAGGTGATATTAGTTGAATGAAATGAGAAAATCCTGAAAAGATATCATACCTCCCCCAGGAGGGCCATAACTAGGGAAATTTTGCACTGAGGGGAAATAACACAAACTGCACTTGGGACAAAGATTTGAAGTGCATTATCAATACATGGAATACATCCCTGTAGGCAGAAACATGTCCACAAAGCCAGTAAACCTAACAAGAAAAAAAAATCACATTTGATCTTCACAATAACATAGCAATACTATAGGTATTCTTATAATAATTATAAGAATACATCTTATAATAATTATAATTATAAAGGTATCCTTATGATCCATATTTTACAGATAGGGAAACTGAGGTTCAAGGATTATAAAATAATTTTTTCAAGGTCATACACTTAGAAAGCATCCATGCCAGCATATGAGTCCAGATTTCTCCTTAACCCAGGTTTAACACTGATTCTTATTGTTTTGGGGGACTCCTGAGGAATCAGTGTTATCTAATGGAATGAACATGGAACTCAGTATCAGAAGACATTGGATCCAATATACTTCTTTGGTTCTGCCATTTCCTACTTCTGTGACTGTTAGTCAAATGACTTACTTTGAAGTTTTTCATCTGTTATACTGGAAAAATGAATCTTACTCTGCCTGCCTCATAATATTGTTGTCTAGAAAACCTAATGAACTGAAAGCATTGTGTAAATGAGAGCTGTCCTAACTGTGAACTTTCAATAGAATAATTTCTGACTTTCTTGAAAGGGCTAATGAAAAAGAACCTTGGCATGGGCTTATAATATAGGGTCTCCCCATCACATTATTATGCTGATCAATACTACAAGTAATCTTCCATGGGGATTATATCTCACACAACAGGAGAAAGAAAAAGTCATATAATGCTTTGGTTTTCTTGTTTTTATTTTTGTTAGCATGGTCCTATTACATTTAAACAATTACAGAAACTCCTGCTAGTTTATATGAACACTTGTATACATGTTTATTAACTAGAGAGAATGCCGAATGCGGAGTCCACAAAACCTGGGTCAAAGTCTAGCTCTGACACTGTGTGACCATAGTCAAATCCTTTATTTCTCTGAACTTCAGGAAGTTCTTTAAGATTATGAATTATCTGTGGTTTCCAATTTGCATTAGTGGATGGAATTCTCATACCTGGAATTTCCACATTGTTGGAGACATATGCAAATTCTTTACACACACATTTTATGCATACATGTGTTATATATGTATGTATATTAATGTCTTATTGTTGTTGTTCAGTCATGTCCTACTCTTCGTGACCCCATTTGGGGCTTTCTTGGCAAAGATATACTAACTCCAGGCCTGGGACTCTACCCACTGCACCACCTTACTGAGTATGAATATATTAAGAGAAACCAGGTATCTAGAGATACTGATTTTTATTAGCTGCATGAAACCTTTATACTTTACATATGTGAATACATACACGTGTATATTTATATACATATGTGTATAACACACATATGCGTGACTATGTATATCTATATTTATGTTAAAAATCTGTGTCCTCACCAAAGTAGAAACTTCCAGCCAGAAGAGTTCCATCTACTAATATAGGCTGGAATCTATCTATAAGTTTGTAATAGGACCAAGGCCTTTTTAACACCAAGCCCAAAACTTCATCTACTTCATAGAAATACATACACACATCTATAAAAATGGTTAAATAAGTAAAGTTAAATTTATTGAGACATACCTAAGACTACTCTAATCTGAAAATAATAATAAATTTAAGTTAAGCAAAGCACATTACAGCAATTATCAATTAATGTGCTCTCTGACTTGAGATGGGGATAAAATTATGAAATCTTTTCTATGACATAAGGCAGCTAGGTGGCACACTAGATGAAGTATTGGATCTGGAGTTGGGAAATCTTGAGCTCAAATCCCACCTTAGATACTGACTAGCTATCTATGACCCTTGGCAAGTCACTTAACCAGTGTCTGTCTCAGTGTACTCATCTATAAAATGGGGATAATAATAGGACCTATCTCTCAGGGTTTTCAGAATAAAATGAGATAATGTTTGTAAAGTATTTTGAAAACCTAAAAAAGTCAAATAAATTCTTGTTATTATTATTATTATTATTATTATGACAGAAAGAAGGCCCATCGTTCTAGAAATAGAAGAAGGCACCACCACATAAGATGGAGCCCTTATGCTGGGTTTATAGGAGGGCTTAGATACAAATTATACTGGATCACAGATCAATAGAGCCATTGAAGAAACTGTATTATTGTATTAAATGCCTTTATACAAATGAGTTTGGGATGCTTCCACCATGTATGAATGTTGGACACTGAACTATGTGTCCTATGCAAAATAAAACTCATTATCTTTCTCCTTAAAACCTCCTGTCTTCCAAATTTCTTTATTACTCTTAAAAGTACCACCATTTTCCCTGTCGCTTAGAATTGAATTCTCATCCTTTACTCTTCACACTCACCCCACATATTCAATCTGTTGCCAAGTCTTGTCATTTTTAATCTTCACCACATTTTTAATATATGCTATTTTTCCTCCAGTATCAGAGCTACCACCCTGGTGCTGATGCTCATCACTTTACACCTGGACTGTTGCAATGGTGTTCTGATTGATCCCCATGTTTCAAGTCTCTATCCATTCCAATCCATGTTCCACTCAGCTGCCAAAAGGATTTTATTAAAATGAAGGTCTTTCCATGTCACCCCTCTACTCACTAAACTCCATTGGCTCCTTATTAATGCCAGGATCAAATATGAAATCTTCACTTGACATTGAAAGCCCTTCAAAACCTGACCTCTTCTCCCTTTCTAGTCATCTTCTGTTTTATTTTCTACTATTTACTCTATAATCAAGCTGCACTGGCCTATTTGCTCTTCCTTTGCTTGTTGTCTCCTCCATTAAAATGTGAGTTCCCTGAGGCTAAGGCTTGTGTTTTTACCTTTCTCTGCATCTCCAGTTCTTAGCACAGTGCTAAACATATAGTAAGCACTTTATAAATCCTTATTGACTGACTGACTATGAGCCAGACCCAAAAGAATGGCAGAAAAGGACTAACTTATATGAGATCCCCAGATTCCTTTTAATATCCTTTTTATTTGGTATGCACTTCCAGTCTCATTCTTTGCCTAAGTCCTCTCTCAGCAAAAGCTTTCCAATGGGTGGAGACAGTTACAAAGTGAGGGACCTCCCTCAGTCCTATCATATAGCATTTATACCCATCATCATTATTTATATTACATTACATTTATGCTCACATTATATATGGAGGCTTCCTTCTGGAAAGTTATTACACAAGATTCAGCAAACTATGCAGCAACACATAACTTTGTTTAAAGACTCTCCAATTATTAACATTGAGAGAAAGAGGGGGATCATTACCATTTTTTCCAATCATAGCTGGGTTCTTTCTTCCACTTTTCTCAGAACTGTGTAGTTTCCATAACCTTTAAGACTAGAATTAATTGCACAACACTTAGATGCATGCTCACTAAAGCTGTTTGCCTTTATCATAGAGGAAATCTAATATCTAGTCTAAATCCAAGAGATATTCCATATAAATGCTGAAGTCCTGCAGCTATACCTGTTTATGGAAGATATAGTGTTTATTGTGTCAAATGCTAAATATCGCAGTCTCCTAAATGAGATCCATAATCATTCAATAGTTAGGACTATCTATTCACGTAGGACAAAGTGGATAATGATTGTTTTCCAAACATTGTTACTCATTGAATAGACAACCCATTGAAATCATCTATCCCTACATTTATCTTGGACAGACACTGTGGAAGAACAACAAACTGGGACCCCAAAATTAATAGGGATATGAGAATTTGTGGGTAAATAGACAAGGTTTTCAATGTCCTGAAGCTTCTCCTTGAAACAAAGTTCTTCCATATTTTAACATCTTCCACCAACTGTATGGTTATGATTTATGTAATACCATGATCTGAAGAATTAAGCATGTGAATCATCTGGCAACAGATGAGTAAAACTGGTAAATTGTATAATTTGTTGGGAGCTCTAAGATTATGGATATGACTTGACTATTGACTATCTGAAATAAATTGAAGGATGCTTGGATGTTGCCCAGATTAAAATACTCATGTGACAATATTTCATAAACATCTGGTGTGTGTAAAACATTAAACAAAGTTTTGGGGAAACAATAAAAAATAACCTAAGTGGGCTATGTGAAACTTTCAGTTTCCAAGCATCGGATAATACACACGATAATGCACAAAGATTTGCCCACAATCATGTGGCTAGCTGTCTTACAGGAAGGCTATTGATCCAGACTGGGACAACCCAAAATCAATTAATCAATCAATACAGACACATATGCAATTCATAAAGGAAATAAAGGGGTAAAGACAAAGGACAAAAAGGAAACATTTTTTCAAGAAATGACATTCATCAGAATTACTTCTCCAGTTCCCCCAATAATATTAAACTACAGGATGGAACAGATACTCAGGGTTCTTTGTCTCCTAACACTATGTGTGAAC